TAGTAAATATAGAGACAGATATAGTAACTTTATCTTAGTATTACTATAATTATATTCTACACACTCAGTATAATGAAATAATATATTATTTATTATTAATATAGATTTAGGTTCCAGCTATCTTATAATAATAAAACAGCTGCTTTATAAATTTTTAAATATTAATATATTACTAATTTCCTGGAATTTATAGATAAAGTATAATATTATGCTGGGTATATATTAGCAATACTTAATATTATTATTCATAATAAATCTGAGAGATTTATACCAGTATTATTTTAATAAAGGACTATACTGTTCACTAAAATCTAATTTATTTATTAATATGAACATGGCAGTATAAATAAAATTTAGATAAATTATAAAAATAATAATTATATAAATCTATATTATAGTTTCTAGAAATCTAATAAACTATTTTCTTTAACTATCTAACTAATATAAATACTCTTTTATAATAGTAGTTATTACTATAATTTTAAATTTATTTTTTAAAAAAGTTATTATTTATCTAGATATAGATCCAGCTTTATAAAAAAATACTTATAAAAAATATTCATTATAAATAAATTATTATTTATAATTAGCTAGTTTTATTCAGAAATACTTTGACACTGCTGAAAAAATACAGGTTTAAATATATATATTAAATACTGTACTTATTATAACTAGCCATGTCAGTTATTTAAGTAGTAATTAAAAACTTATTTAAAATCATACTATAAATAAGCTCAAGCTGAGATATTACTAGACTTGGAATTATTTAGAATATATAAATAACTATTTATTTACTATAAAAAAATATAAGAAATAGTATGGTACAGGAAATGACTTGATATAATTAATTATTTATATTATATTATTATATTATTATAAGAAATCAAAAGTTCTAGAGATATATAGTATTTATATTATATAAAACATTATTAGTACTGCCAAGATACTAAAAAACTAGAAGTAAGACTATAAAATAATTAAAGAATATTCAGAATAAAACCTGATTTTAAATATTTCTATAAAATTATTATAGATACTCATAATATTTTAAGACTACTAATTATTTTAATTTATTATTAAAAATATATTAGAACAGCTCCAGGTATATTTAACTATATATTACTAAAACAAAATAGTTCAAGCTATAATTAAGATTTATTTTTACTAACTCTATTATAAAAAATAATAATAAATATATATTAAAGATATCTTTATACATGATATAAGACACTTAATAATTATTTAAAATATAATTATTATATAATAAAACTATTATTATTAATAGATATAAACACAGTAAACTCTTCACACTATACTAAAAAGATTTAAATCTTATATTATAAAATTATCCACGACAAAGTTCAGGAAGATATATAATAAAATTATATATAATTTATAATTTTCTATTATTTATTTAATAGTTTATGGCAAGCAGGATCTGGGTATTAAATATATATATAATATATATATCTAATATAATATCTAAAACTGAAGTCAGATTTAAATAGTTTTTTTTATATACTATATATTAAGCAAAGAAGACACTCTAGTAATTATATAATAATATATTTATTATCTAAACCTGCTGTAGTCTATTCTAGAAGTTTCTTATTTAAATAAATAGTTCTTAAATATAATATAAGACTAGGATTAATTTATAATACTATATCCACAGCTATAACTCTACAATTTATTTCATTTTATTCTAAAATTAATATAAAATAAAAAAAAATAATAATTACTTTTTATCTCTTCTGGAAGAGAGCAACATTATTATATATATTATATATTTTTAATAAAAGGCCATGAACTTATTAAATTATATTTTAAATTAATTATTTTTTATTAAACCAGGATTATTTTTTCTTTTTTATCTTATAATAAGAGGCCTGGAGTATAATATAATATTTTATTTTTTATTTTATTATTTTTATATATAAGAATATTTTTATAATACTTGTAAGAATTCCATGTTTTTATTATATTTTCTACTTATATTTAAATTAATATTTTAAATAACATTTTACTAAGAGATTAGCTCTAGCTTTAATTTCTTTAGCTCTACTAAGATTAATAACTCATTATTAATTAATTAATTAACTTTAGTTACTAGCCATTCAAATAATCATGACCTGTAGCTTGAATTATCTCTAAATAATATTAAAATTTATAAATAAATAATTAGATTAGTAATTCTTCTGATATACTAATCTAGATATATATTATAATAAAAGATTTTATTAAATTTCATTAATTTTATCTAAAAAAATATTAACCATGTCTCTTCTATAAAAAATATTTTAAATATTTATAATTATTATTAACTGTTTCCCCTGCGTTCTGCTACAACCAGTAAAAGATAATTAGAAAATTAAATCTAATTATTTTACTGAGTTATTTAAACTAACTGTTTAGCATTTTAGTGGAAATATTAAAAAAATATATATCAGGATTAGCTAAGTAAAAAGTAAGGAAATTAGCTAATTTAAATATTTATAATATATATAGCTGCCTGGTAGAACTGATATAAAGATATTTAAAAATAAACTTATATATTAACAGCCTGAGAAATAATATCTTAGAACAGAATAATAAACAAGACTTACTTAAAATTTTAAAAATATTTATTTCCAGGCTGTATCTGTTAAATTAAATATTTAGATATTTTATATAATAATTCAGAATATATTATAGTTTCTTTTTATTTCTATAATCTTTAGTATTATATGGTTTTATTTCTAGAATTATATAAAATCTCTCTCAGCTAGTAGAAAATAAAGTAATTATTATATTAATATATTTTAATAATATAAATATTCTGGATTATTATCTGATTATTTTTATTAAAAGAATAATCAGAACAAGCTGTACTAGGTCTCATGGCTTAATTATAGTTATTTATAGGACTTTTAATAATTCAAAAATATTTTCAGATTATAGTATAGATTTTTCCTTTAATTCTATCCGAAGTTTATGTTTCTTTATTATTTAATCTCAGATCTATATAATCAGCCCTCAGTAAAATATATGAAGTATAAATAAGAGATCTTATATTTTAATTATTTTATTTTTTATTTTTAAGAGAATTATTAGACCTGTCTTTTTTTTTCTAAATTATATTTAAATATTCCAGTATATCTGCAAGATTAATACTATCTTAATATACTAATAATAAATAATAACTATATAGTCAAAGAAGATATATTATATTTTTAAGTTTAGTAAATCAGCTTTTAATAATTCTAATATATTATACTTAATTTTTATACAAAATCTGTAATCCATTTAAAGCCCTATATTAATAATATATATTAATATATTTATACCAGTACTAGAACTTTTATACTCTCTTCTAGAGATAAATTATATCATTATTATATTACTACTTTTAAATAATAGAATTATCTAGATCTCTTTTCTCTTATAATTAGTTATATTAAGTACTTCAGCCTAGGCTAATATAAAACTTATATTCTAATAAATTATTTCTATTATTATTATTATTTATATCTTTATAGGCTGGTCTGTTTATCCTGGTTTCCTGATACTTTTTAAAAATATTATATTTTCTATTATCATAATTATTATATTAGTAGTAGTGCAGTTGCTCTTGGAATCTAATCATTATAAAAATATTTATTTATCTTTTTTATATAATTAAAATATAAAAAAATATTTAAAACAGTAGATAATAAATAAAAGATAATCAAGAATAAAATAAAAAATAATAGAAAAAAAGAGATAGAGAAGAATACACAAGAATAAAGAAAAATAATTAGAGATTATATAAATAATAAAAAAGAATTTTTCAAGTGAAAGCCAAGGGCATGTATATTATAAAATAAAGAAAAGAAAGCTTAGAATAAATATCTTATTATTTAATTAACTAAATTTTTCTCTGTCTAAAGAAGACTGGAAAAAACTTCTAGCTTTTTATATATTTTTATATCAAGCAGGAATATAAATACTTGCCAGCTAGATTAATATTCTAGATTTTACTATTTCTTGATAATTTAATATATAAAATGCTGAGTTACTAAGCAAGATTTATATAGATTCTACAGGTTTTAATAAAAAATAAAACAGTTAATATAAAATCTATAATAAATAATACCTTAGCTAGAGAACACTGATAGACTTTATATTATTTTATTAACTGAGGGCTCCTGTTCACCTGTACAGTAGAAAATCATGATAGATTATTATAAGAATAATTCCAAGATAATAATCAAAATAGAGTTAAAGCATCAGTATCAAAGGACTGTAAAAGCAGCATTACAACAACCACAAAAGAGGCAGCTCTTTCACCGAAGTGTTGCTTCAAATTATAAAATATTCTTCTCTATTTAAAATTAATCTTTGAGTATTATTAAGAGTTTCTTAAATAAATAGAATACTGTGTAGTTAATCTTATAAACTAAAGTATAAAATAATAAAAAAAATATATAATATTATGAATATTATTAAATTAATACTTTTTTAGAATTTTAATAATAAATAGAATTCTGCTCTCCTGTTTTGCTGTATTTTTTGATGCTTTAAACTATATTAGTAATATGGTTAATAGTTAAATAGCTTTAAATAAAGAAGAAAAGGGAGGGGGCAGGGTGTTTATATATAGATTTAAACATATTAGATATGTAGTAGGTGGATGGCCGGTGCAGGTAGATGGCTGGTACAGCCGGGAGTTACATTATAGAGTAATCACTTCTAGACTATCAGTCACAGTCGAGGTATTGCGTAAAAGTAGAGATAGCAATCCCGATGACACCATCTGCCGAAAGATTTGGTATGCCATTGACCACTTATCGTCCCCGAATCTGCCTACGGCCGGCAAACCAACTGCATGGCTCATTCTAGCGTCGATCACGCAACGCCAATAGCACGCAACATGATGTCTCCAAGGGATGATTTCCCCGCACAACTACCAGTATATATACCGATGTAAGGGCTGTAGGATGTATCTGTATACCACGTCACATCAATCTGCAAATGCAAACATGACACCTAGATATCGTCGAATTGCGGTCATTGGCACAGGCCCTTCAGGCCTCTCCGCCGTCAAGGCTCTCCATGACGAGAATACCTTTGACAAAATTCAGGTCTTCGAGAGGCGCGACCGTGTAGGAGGCATCTGGCACTATGACCCAGCCCCAGACCCGTTTCATGCCCCCGGTAGCCCATCACAGACTCCCAACATCCCCACCAGTCTTCCCCAGTTCACCTCTCCACGCCCGGAAGACACCAGTGCCAGAACAGGGATTTACTCCCACCTCGACAGCAATGTCGGTGCCAAAACAATGGCTTTCACCCACACACCATTCCCCGAAATCAACTCATCAACCTCAATCAAAACCTTCGGCCCATCCAATGCCTCCCGTCCGTTCCGTGCCGTGGCCAACTACCTGGAGGACCTCTTCATCCCCTACCTGCACCTAGTCTCGCTAAGCACGACAGTCGAACGGGTCGAGAAAACCGGCCACGAATGGACCCTGACCCTCCGTAAAACCGGCCAGCTCTACCGCAGCCTACCCCAAGACTACTGGTGGACCGAGACCTTCGACGCCGTAATTGTCGCTTCAGGTCACTACAACGTGCCTTCCATCCCGTCCATTCCAGGCCTATCCACCACAGCCTTAACACACCCCCACGCCTTCGAACACGCCAAAGCCTTCCGCCACGCTGACAACTACGTCAACAAGCGCGTGCTCATCATCGGCGGCAACGTCTCCGCCGCTGACCTCGTCACCGAACTCCACGAGATCGTCTCCGGACACCTCTACATCAGCCAACGCGGAATCAACCCCGCCCTCGAGAACGCCTGGACCCTGCCCAACGTCGAGCGCAAGCCCACTCTATCTCGCCTCGAACCTACCACGGCATCAGGAAGCACAAACAACACCGTAAGAGCCCATTTCACCGACGGCACCAAGCTTGAGTCCATCGACCGTGTCATCTTCGCCACAGGTTACACCGCGTCCTACCCCTTCCTTGTCCCGGACCCCGTCACGGCTAATAACCGCGTTGCGGGATTCTACCAGCACATCTTCCGCATCTCGGATCCCTCTCTGGCGTTGGTGGGCCAGGTGCGTGCTGCTCTCAGCTTCCGCGTCTACGAGTACCAGGCTGTTGCGGTGGCGAGGTATTTCTCTGGTCGAGCGAAGGAGCTGCCGAGTCAGGCGGAGCAGGATCGGTGGGAGTTTGAGAGGTTGAAGATCAAAGGGAATGGGGTGGCGTTCCACGAAATCAAGCCGGATTTTAGGGAGTATTTTGAGGCGTTGTTGGAGATTGCGGGTGACGGGGCTGGATTGGCCCCGTTTGAGGATAGGTGGGCCGATGAGGCATTTGAGATTTTGAAGGCCAAGGATGAATATTGGTTGAGATTGAAGAGGGATCAGAATAGGGCGAAGTTGTAGGGAGCTACTATTGCTCTGGGATACTCCTATTTGCGATTGGTTAAATAGAATCATGTTTGTTGTCAACAACTTGCGAGTGGCAGGATATCCGTCATAATATTTATTCCAGAGCATCGTGACTATAAATACTGCTTGGTTCTCTATCATCTGTTTATGTCTTATCTACTGATTGATTTCTATGAATCTCACAGACAGTAATGCCCGCGAAGACCTAGACCTCAGAAGACCTTTTCCGTCCCACATTCCCGATCTTCCGTAACCCGATTGAACTCACCACCAAACTGACAATATTCATCGCAAAAAGGAACCAAAATGCCGCCCGATAGCCCACCATCAGTGCCCCCGGACTCTCCTTATTCTCCGATTGAGCGTACTTATCAGTCACGCTATTTGCGATCAACGCCACCAATGCCAATCCAATGCTTCGACCAAACTGTGACACTGTATTGAACACGCCCGCAGCCAGCCCCTGTGTCTCCACAGGAAACATCCCAGTAATAAGAATGGTCGAAACCGTAAATAGAACATCAGCCGCGATGGGGTTGAGGCACATGGCAAAGAATGCACTCCGCCAATATGTCCACGCGGGATTTATAAGTGCTATGAGCAGCGGTGAGAGGGATGAGAGAACAGTGGCCCAGTTGATCAGGGAGTCTGCGCGCACTCGATGCAAAATCATGCCAGTGACCAGGCTTGTGAGTACGCCCATGACAGTTACTGGGATGAAGCGTACTGAAGTACTGAATACCGAGAGTTGCTGAACGTCCTGGAAGAAGAAGTTGGCTATTTGCTCAAAGGCATTGAAGGCACCCCAGATGAGGAATACGTTGGCGCAGATGCAGGTGAAGGCTGAATTCTTCCACAACGAGTTCTTGATTAAGGTGGGCCGAGATCGATGCTCTTGTTGACCTTGCCAGAAAGCGAAGAAGGACATAAGAATGATAGACAGGAAGAAAAGTATAATGGTGCTTGATTCGTGGATTTTTGATACATTATCTGTAATGACCCTGTTATAGTGAGTAGTCCAAGTTAGTGATGTTTTTCCATGTCAACTCGACCTTGGATTATACGAACGCTAAAGCATATGAGAGTAGAGCCAGCGCAGCACTTGCAGTAAGAGCTCCGATCCAGTCAATCCCAAAGATGATATTACGCCATGAAACACCCTGTTGCTCAGAGGTCCTGGCGGGCAATTGCCGTACCGATAGGAGCAAGACCGGGGTATTGGCAATTGCTGCGCTGTAAAAGCCCCAGCGCCAGCTCACAGTGTCTGCAAAAACACCACCCAGAAGAAGTCCGACACCGAATCCGATGGGTTGACCCGACCCCATCAGAGCAAAGGCAAGATTCCTGAGCTTTCCTGATGGGAAGTGCTCAGCAATGATGCTCATGGCAGACGGCATACAGAGTGAGGCCGCGACACCAGAAATTATTCTGAAGATTATCAGTTGGGTTCCGCTTCGAGCGAGGCCACAGGCTATCGAGGAAGCACTCTGTAGAAAGCATCCCGCGAGTAGAGTTACTTTGCTGCCTACCGCATCGGAGATGGCACCCGAAATGAGCAGTGTGCACCCTGTTCCTAGGGCGAACATAGACACGGGCCTAATTTACGTTTGTGTCAATGTTGTTCTAAGTGACAATACAATAAAGATTTATAACGCACCATAACTCCACACCAGGACTCAGGTTCAAATCCAAGGATATCTGTGGAACTGAAACGGTGACAAGACCACCTAGATAAGAGCCGATCAAAGTGACACAGGAAATGCAAAATATAACGACGGAGGCGTTTGGAGGTCCTTGTCGCTCGCTATCCGGCAGGAGAGATTCATTTTCGGAAGTTGTTTGCTGCGAGATCGACTGTTCTTCTCGGCTATTCTGCTGGTCAGACGGAGTGGAAAATTTCTTTAGTGTTGATGCTTGAGACATAGCATGTGTTGTAAGAATGTTTTACGAAGGAGGGGGAGTGGGAGGAGCGAGAAATTCGTGTGTTGATCCGCCAGGCAGACAGTTTAATATGGACGAGAGAAAGAATTCGGAAGAATCGGCAGGTGTTGTCTTAATGGCTACCCCGCCAGTCCATAGGGCCGAGCGAGACCCTGACCGACTCATGCTCGATTGACTATACCCGAACCAGAACTAAGTAGAATAGGGCAAGGAAGTCCGAGCAGCCTGCAGCTGCTTGCGCGGTTTCGGAACTCGTAAGGCTGTCTATCAGCTTATCTTGACATTCCCTATGCTATTTGTGGGTGTTACCGAGCAGCCTGGTGCCGAGATTCAATCAGTTGCAACAGGTACCGGGCATAGGTTCACTACAACACAATCGTACACATCGCACCTGCTATCCAGTCGCAACAACTGATCTTATCTTGACTGCTGATATCAGCAATCTACTCTACCGAAGGCCTTTATTTAGCTAGTACCCACAGTGACACTGCTTAGACGCATACGACGATGACCTATGTGAAATCGAGTAGCTTAGAAACGCCCGTTAAGTGCCCGAGCAGCAAAGCGCACTGTATTCGGATCAGAACAGAGCCTTAAGCATCCCGCCAGCTTGGGTAGCGCGAAGGAAAAGTTTCGTATGCAATACAGGCCACGCCAGTAGGGTTGGAATAATATTGGGAGATTCCCTTATACTATATGTGCCAGACACTCTAATGCCGGTGTGATAGGCTTATAACTTCCTCTACTATTAACATGGCACTGCATCTATCCCGTGAGGCAGCAATGTGCGGACAGCGAATGAGTGTCTTCCTTATCCTCAATTTGGCCCTACGCGGGGCCATGGAACGATGATGAGCTGGAGCAAAGCTAGATGGAGGAGGCGGTGTCATCCTCGTTATGATGACATACAAGAAATGACACCCGCCGAGCTGAACTCTATGGTATAGGTCAACAGAATTGCTTAGGCCAAAACAGTAAAGCTAGATTGTCCAGGAGGCATTAGAATTTGTGCTTGTATCTGTCGGACCACAGCGAGGCGGAAATTCTATGAAATTGTTCCACTAAATGCGTTATATGCAGCGAGAATGAGGAATTCAGTGCTCTGCTAATGTTTTCAATAGTAGTATTGAATTCCACGTGGCTGCCGACACCAGAAACCTTATTAATAGTCAATCAACGTCATCATGAGCAAACACAGACAGGCCGCCGCATATATGCAGCGCTCTCATAACAAAAACTCACATGCCAACATACAATCGTTCAATTATAACATCAAAATCATGGCTTCGAACGATGTTAAGGATACAGGAAGCGACGTGGTTACTGCCTGCGGCAGTCGCGGCTTCCTGGAATATCTCATGGATCCCACCTGCCCGATCCCTAAATACGCCTATCGAGGGCGAGAAGGTTTTATACATGACTACCAGCATGCTATCGATACGTACCAGTCTACTAGCGAGTGGATGCTGCTGACAGGTGTTACCGATGAAGCATTCCGCAACGATTTTTTGGAATCAGAAGATAGCCCATTTTCACGAGTCAGAACATACGACAGCGAGCACCAGATACTGCTCCTCATTATGCCGGAGTCAAACGCGCACGGCACCGCATCCTCTGAGTTCGATAAGCTTCTGTGTATGGCCACCGGACGGCTGGGGTTGCATTTGAAGTCCTTTGAAGGATACCATGCCATGGAAAGAGGGGGTAAGGTGCCTGATAGGGCCTGGCGCCCACTTCGACTCCCCCGTAACCGATCGACTGAGTGGCCTAGTGCCGTCCTCGAAGTTAGTTACTCAGAGACCAGAAGTAAGCTTATGGCAGACATAAGGCGTTGGTTCCACGCCTCAGGTGGAGACGTTAAGCTGGTCTTCACCGTGGACATAGATCGCCACGCACCAAAGATAGTCATCGAACAGTGGACGCATGATAAGGACAGCCGTAAGCGACGGGAGCAAGTAATCGGTATTTCTCAGTCGAAGACTGGCGTTGTGGTCACCGGTGCACCCCTGGAAATATCATTCGAAAGACTATTTTTATGCCCGACAAGCACTCCGGAAGAGAGCAACATCCTAATCCACGAGCCGGCACTGAGGAATTATGCTAATCTCATATGGGAGGAACAAGGCTATAAGGAGGTTGAGCGCATCTGACAGACGTGTCGAATTCTTCGTGACATTCAACCCTAGCTCAAACTAGGCTTTCCACACCCATGTGAATATCCCTACTGTTAGACAATAGCCGCTTCACACCACGGTTACCAAAATTCAACTAACATTTGACAGATCTCCTTATTGAATATGGAGAAGCATCCTGAGACAGTCCCAGAAAGCGACCGTGAGGAAGAAGATGTTCAGTTAGGAGAAGGAGTTATAGAAATACACGAGCCCGGAGAACATGTGACCGAAATTATCTTTTGTGGATATGCCTTCCACATCAAGCACGGGGTGCCCCGGGAGCACGGAGATGAGCTATGGGAATTGTGGGCCACAGAAAACATTACATACGAGGATATTCCAGAGCACTTGAAAGTCTACGAGTTTACCCCAGAGGAATATGATGTGTTGGAGAGAGAGGAGAAGAATTTCAAGCGTGGTGGGTTTGTGGCCCATTGGCAACAAGGACGAGGACAAGGATGAGGACATGGAAGAGGGTAGCTTGCCAGGAAAGCCTTGAGGTGATATTGACAAGGTTTTGTGTTCACCAGACCGTGTTCTATGTTACTGGTGTCATTGTTTATACGCTTTGTATTTGCCACGACGTAAGGGGAAGTCGACGAATGAAGGGTCGAGACAAAGAAGTTTTCCGAATGGATCCCAATATAGTGAGCTCCAGGATGAGGATCAAATGGTGGCTTACTATGCTGCCAGAGTGACTTTAGTAGGTTTTAGCTTATTTCAATCTTAGGGAATACTGCATCAAGCTGTAGAACCTTTACCAAGTAGGAGTATTGAAGTATGAATTGTACGAGGTTGCGGTGTGCCTTGTGGCTCACTTTCCCTTAGCACCCTTCCTGTTCTACTTGGAGCGCTGGGCTGTGGATGTAGAACGACTCGTCCCATACCAGTTATATTCTTGAGCAGCTGCACTTCAACGTTATATATTTGGAAATTCGAAGATATAATATATTCGAGTAACTAGCATCATTATCTTTTTGTATGAATGTAATAGAACGGGCCGAGTCCCTAGTCTACCAGGGCATGCCGTAGGAATCTAGATGCTACCCTCAATTGCATGAGTTTGTAAGTAGATTGCAAGGTATCGGACTGCGGAGCATGATAAGAATCTATTAGATGATGATTTTACCACATACGACCACAGGGTGTGGAAAACAGGGCTTCCCGTCCGCTCAGCCGTACTTAAGCCACACGCCGGGAGGTTAGTAGTTGGGTGGGTGACCACCAGCGAATCCCTTCTGTTGTATGTTTTTGTTGGTTCAATGTTCAGTCATCAATCCGACATTTTTGCCAAGATCGAAACTACAAGAGTGCAATAGCAGGTATTGAAGATCGAAAACAAGCTCTGGCAACGTCTAGTACATAGCTAACGGCTCGTGGCTAGAATTTCTGCGTACCAGCCTTTTCTCAGGGAAGCATCCCTCTATGTCGTCCTTGAATCGGCCTCCACGAAATACTCACTGGATCATGCCGTAAGCCATCAACGATCCGCCTCCAGACCGCATTGCCTTCCACACCAGCTGGGTGTTCGAACCGCAGGTTTGCTGCGTCAGGCACAACCACGAATTCGTACTGCATATATAGCCGGACCGCTATATCAGTGCTTTCTAAGTATGTTTCCATCTGCAGCTCGTCTACACATGCTGCATGAATTGGTCGACTATCAACCCTGAGAACGAGATTCTGGCAGAACCCACAAAGCGCTGCCACCTGCCACGCCACACAAAGTCAGTGACCACCATCCAGATATATACTTGCTTTGGTATCCAAGCAATTACAGGCATCCTTGTCAGTGAGACACGTGAAACAAGATGGTTGGAAGAAGCCATGGTTATGGATTGACAAGTGGCCACGCTATACGCAACGGACGTCTAGGCGACTTTAATACTCACTTCAACACAATACACTGCGATAGGTTAGCTTGTACCTCACAGGAAACATGTTTAATGTTCCATAAGACCTTTCTTGTGGCGCTGCACACTAGTTTGCGAACGGCAGCTGTGGCCTTGATTTCCCTGTTGTCCACAGATCCATCTCATTGAACGACCTCGCTTCTCCACCATCCTCCAATTTATGGCTTTTATGATTAGCTACTAATATATGCAGACCAAGTGGGAATCTGGAGGGTGATTACGCTCCAGACAAGTACCGGATATGGTTGCAATGCAAAAGGACCCGGTCTAGGCTCCTGGATCTCGCTATCTACTACCCCCTTGCCAGAGGTCTGGCCAAATTTGAACCTAGGTCCCTACCATGGTATTGCGGGCGATCGAAGAGATAAGAATTAATTTATTGAATATGTTGAACCTCTCTTTAACGTTACTCATATTTGCAATAAATTTGTCGCAAGAGGTTCAACCCATCGATGTCCTCGGCTAAGGGCGTCGGTTCGTGAGTGGCCCAGCGATGCTTGTGACCGAGACCATGCCCAGCTCTATAGCAAGGAGGTGCTATATGGACGAGTAAAGACACCGCAAAAGGTTCTATGGAAAAGGATAACCAAGTGTGCGATCTGATTTCGTAGCGGTTTGCAGGGAATGGGGATTACTGACCCGGCACCTCCACTCCAACCCAACCCAAAGTCCAGTTACGGCTCCTTTGACGCAGTTGCATCTAACACCCCAAGGTAAAATTAGTATATATTACACGGCGCGCACATCAAGTGGAGCATCTTGAAGGAGAAAGAATGGGCGAGAGTAGGCAAATCACCATCACATCAATAATGAGGTGGGGTTTGGCATTGCTGACATGGCAGGATCTTTAAAGGAAAATCAATCGACGTGTAAAGTCATAATCAAGTACTCCACAGTAAGCAAGCCAGATGAGGATGTTGTTCAATCTTGGAATATCCTTGTAAACAGAGAGCCGTGCGGCTTTGTTATTTTCAAACCCTTCCTGGTCTCCAACTGACCGGTCGGATTTGTTCGGACTTCGAGGCGCGGACAGACACCCCTGGTGTTTTAGTGCGAATGCCAGAGGTTCGCCAACAACTCAGGTCGACAGGGATATGTGTCCGGTGGAGCATGAATTCAGAGCTAGCAATACAGCAGGTACATATAAGTATTGGAAAGCAAACATTGTGATATTCCAAAAAAAAAAAAAGGTTTTATGGTCTGGTAATTGGTAGCTAGGAAAAGATAATGTATAATAATGTGCTGAATACCGATCTCATATAATTAGGTTATAGTATACCAGGAATATCATATCTTACCAGGAATGAGGTTGATTTACTGTTTTATTATTCAGACAATCCATCCCATCACTGCAAAGTGATTGTGAATACTGAAAAGGAAGTGTTGCCTACTTCCCATTCCTTTCTTGATCTCCTATTTACCCCTGTTAGAGATGTGGGCCCAGCCTTTGTTCTTTTAACGGGGTAAGATTTTAGACCAGCGTTTAGTTTCCCCAACAGCCTTTCTAACACCCCCGCCCCCGTTAACCCCACCGACCAACACCTTCTATGCGATCATTTAAGCAATGAGTCGATCCTGGTGAATTTTCTCTTTCTCCCCTTCACATATTTCCCGTTCACCACTGACCTCACAAAAAGGAACTCCCAACGTGATAACAATGCCTGCCGACCTTGTCGACGTTCTCATCATTGGCGGCGGTCCCGCTGGTTTAACAGCAGCCCTCACTCTTGCACGACAATTACACACAGCGATCCTCTTCGATAATCAGTCCTACCGCAACGGCAATTCCTCCTTTATGCACATGATCCCAACATGGGATCACAAAGATCCTGCTCAATTCCGAGAGAAGGCTCGCCAGGAGATTTTCTCGAACTATTCCACTATTCGCTTGGAGAATGCAACTATCGCAAAGGCAGAGAAGAAAGACGACGCTCTTTTCAAAATAACAGATGAGAATGGAAGTTCTTGGGAAGGAAGGAAATTGATCCTTGCCACTGGATCCCAGGACATTTTCCCACCCATTCCCGGCTATGCTGATGCCTGGGGAAAGCGCATGTGAGCTCCATATTCCATGGCTCTCCACGTGCTATCCTAGATCTGAGCTAATTCTTTGGAAATAGCTTCCACTGCCTCTTCTGCAAAGGATACGAGGACCGCAGTGCAAAGCGAGCAGGCATTCTAGCCATCCAGTCCGCCGCAAATGTACCGATGGCGATGCACCAGGCGGAAAATGCTGCCCAGCTGGCCGAGCAGGTTACCATCTATACGAATGGACAAGAGGCCCTTGAATCCCAGTTGGCTGCTATATTAGCCGATAAGGGTAGTAAAACAGTGTTCAAGGTCGACAATCGTGTAATAACCGGTGTGTCGCTCAACGGGGACGATCTGAGTAATAAAGCCTCTGTTCAGGTCCAGCTTGCCGATGGTAGCCAGGTCGAAGAAGCTTTTCTCGTTCATAACCCTGACACGCAGGTCAAGAGCACCCTCGCTACTCAGTTGGGTCTGGACCTCGCACCTAGCTTTGTTCCCGGTACGGGCGATATAGCTGCCGCAGCCCCTTTCTATCAGACCAGCATCCGGGGTGTGTTTGCTGCGGGCGACTGTATGACTCCGTATAAGGTGGTTGCGGGCGCCATTTCTAGTGGATGCAATGCGGCTGTTGCGGCTTCAGCGCAGCTGCTTGCGGAGAAGCATGGCCACCAGCCGCTTTTCTAATTCTAACGTTTGGTGAAGATTCTAGATGATATGAGGGCTATACTATCCTAGTCAGATGTTACAAGAAAAGGAAGGTGATGGGAAGCGGAACATCTGTAAATTCTATACAGAAATTGAACATATGTCCAGAACCTGTAGAAAAGGCTAATTGGTGTCGTTCGAGATAGGGTCCTTGAAAGGCATGTAGGCAGCTAAACACCGATTGTCCAGGATGGTGGATTACACAGCCTCAGCCTACACAAAATGGCTAGGGAGGCTTTGCAAGGATACTTCCATGAGACATAGCAAATGACAAATATGGCAATGATAGGAAGGAAGGCGCTGTAAACAAGCTTGTTTAGGACCCGTGGTTCCATCGCCCTATTGATTCGGCCAAACGCCGAAACGGGGCAAAATTTCGCCGTTTAAGGCAACTGATTTCCCGTCCCCGCACCTGCTCGGCGACTGCCATCCGATCGCGATTTTAAACAAGAGCTGAACAATCCTGACCTCAAAGACATACCCACCGACCGTCTTAAAACTACATTGCTTCAAGGTGTTTCCAGTCGCCCCGTTTATTATACAAGACTATTACGGGCTTTTGTTGATAATGGACCCTCCTCAACCCTTACCCAGGAGGTCTCCTACACGGTCGGTTCGAGAGAACATTTTCCAGTTACTCCATAGAATCCATCATCGAAATGTGTATTGATATTATTGATGCAGTATTATTGTTAGTCATTAGACTATCTATTTTTTTAGTCTTGTCAAATGCATAATAACAATTTTTGGTATTATGAGTCAATAGCAATCATTGGTAATCATACCAAAAGCGTATCCGCGAGTCCACTTGAC